AAAAAAAAAAAAAAAAAAACTACAAATTAAGCCCATAAAGCAATAACACCATTAACATCTGAATTCCTAAACTTCTGCAGCCCTAAACCTAAACAGCCTAAGCCCAACATCCTTCATCGCAAAAACTCGTACAATGTCCTGAGACCCACCAAAAACCCGCAACCCTCAATCTCTAAACGCAAAAATCCAATGCCCTGAGCCCCATGAAACCCTGTCAAATCCGTATTGAACCTTTCATGACAGCTCCGGCCCCAAAAAACTTGAACTCCCCCTAAACCCCGAACCCTGAGACCCTCACACCCTAAATCCCAACAGCCCCCAACTAAAAAATGCTACCAAAAACTCCCCGCCCCTTCTTTTAAAGCCTCTTTCAAAGGCCAAACTTTTCCCCCCTTCCGAGAGGCGGCCTCAGAGTTCCAGCCCCGCCGCCCGCAGACGGCCACCGAGAGGCACGCGTCCTGCTCCTGCTTGGAAGCTGCGGTTGAGAAATAGGGGGGCCTAAAAAATGCAGGGGAGCTCTTATGAAGTATGGGTGCTCTTGAGTAATAGAGGTGTTCCTAAGTAAACAGGGGAGTTCTTAAGAAATACAGCTCAGGGTGTAGGTTTTGTTTTGGGTTCTTGCAGATTTCTTTAGGAGCTTCCTTCAAGGGGTCTACGACAAATCTTAAGGGTTCTTTATGCTATAAGGGTTCTACAAGATAGGGGCCTTGATAATTGGAATAAGGCTTTTATACCGATTGTTGCAGCATTCTTGGACGAGGGAAGGGTTCTGGAAGGTTTTGATAACGGCCCTTCAAAGGCTTCATAGGCTTGCATTGAGGGGCCGTGCAGATAAGCATATGGCAATATTTCAGGTTTCGGGTTGGGGATTGGGGTTTTAGGATTTGGGTTTGGGCAGCGTAGATGAGGTTGAATTCTCTGAATTTGTTCAGGGTTTATGTGCAAGGGTCCAAGGCTCGCTTTGTTTCGGGCTTCCTTTCAAACACCTAAGCTGCCTCTTTAAATGTCATTTAGTTTGGGCCCGGAAGTAACGGCCCTGGTTTCAACGGGCCCTCAGAGGGCCCACAATGTACCCATATTCCAGGAACACATGCTAAACTACAATACCAAGCCAGATAGCGTAGGTTTGGGTGCTGCGCTTGTTTTAGGTTATTTATGTTGTACTTCGGGGTTTAGGGCTTATAGGGCTTAGGGTTTTCTTTGAGCTCCGTTTTACCGGAGCCCATGCCGTGACAAAGGCCGTCCGATCAGGGGTAGGACTTCGGGTTTAGGGCTGCTTAGAGTTTAGGTTTCGTGTTTCTTTGGAGGGGTTGTCCTTTCGAAGCTCTCGAAGGATCCGAAAGCTTCAAGAGAGTGCCTGGGGGTTCGTTTGGGATCACAACCCTAGAGTCTAAAGCGCTTCGGGCCCGGGCCCTAGGGCTTCGGTGTTGTTTAGGCTTTAGGCGTCGTGGTAAGGTTTTGGTTATGTAGGGATTAGGTTTTGTGGTTGGGATTTAAAGTTCATGGACCGGTCGAAACGAAGCGACGTCACACTTCACAGCTTTAACTGTAGGCTGTAGGCCTCAACCCCGCAGCACAACCCCAAAAATCCTCAACGACTGACGGTACGAGTTCAGCTACGCCTTGGCATCCTCTGCATCCACCAGTCGCTGGAAGCGGGAGTAGTCCACGTTCGCCTCGAAGCAAAACAAATTTCACGGCAACTACGGATTTAGGGCTAAAGATGCAGTTAGTTCACGGGCGAACCTCAAAGAAAGATGCTGGCATCCGTGTCGCCTTCGGCTCCGTGACGGGCCCCGGAAAGCTGCAAACTCCCCCAAGCTCCAAAACCACAATTCGTGAAATGGGGCTTTTGTGGTATGTTACAATATGTTCTACTGCAACTACATAGGCTTCCGGGTACTTTTGTTCAAGATAGACTTTAAAGGGAAAAAAAGGATACTGTCCCTAGTACGTCCCAAACCTGAAACTTTCAACAGGCCTTCACCGCGCGATCAATGCCCGGTGCGCTGGCACCTGGTGGCGAAGTTGGAAAAAGTGGTTTCGGACTTAGGGTTTGGGCTTCATTATTATTTTGGGTTTGTAGTTTGCGAAGTCAGGAGACGCAGGGGCTGTTGAGGCAATTGGAGTCAGGCAAGCACTGAAGTGCATACCGTTAAACCACAACGACCACAAAAATGAGAGTATTGATAAAGTTCACTGGTACTGATGCTCTGATGCTCTTTGTTTTCGTGGCGTTACCATTACTCCATATATAAGTCATGCAGAAGCTGTCCGTATGTCTGGGCTGCTTGCCACAGGTGGGCAGCAGCGTTGCATCTCCGGGAGGGCTGGGCGCCTCCTGGAGGGAAAAAGCACAGCTCTGGCAGGCTTCAGCAGGAAAATCTTTCGAGTTTCGGGTTCAGGTCCCATGATTTGGAGTTTGGGACCCTGGAATTATGAACAGGTGTCAGGGCTTCAGTGCTTCATCCGAGGCTCTTCAGCTCCCTGGAATCTAGGCCAACACATAAATCCTGACGCCCCAAATTCGGATTCATGGTTCTGCATGCTGAACCCGGGATTGCGACACCAGGGCTTGAAGGCACAGGGGCCTTCCAAACTTATACGCTCCCAACACCCAGATCCCAAACGTAAATCCTGATCCTGAGCTCTACATGTCTGAGGGGGGCGCCAAACAAAAGCGAAAGTCCGTACACACCCAAAACATCTAAGAACGAAGCCGCGCAGCCTAAATCCGAAACCTGAAGATGTGTTTATTTCGGACCTACTACGACCTCCCAAAAAAGCTGAATCTTGAACCCAATGAAGTTGCACCTTGAAGCTTACAGTACAACTTCACCACTTGAGCGTGGTCCTCGGGGTTTGGACGAAGCCTTGGCTTTGCAAGACCCCCAACTACAGCCCGTGCATGAAGCCTCAAGAACTTAAATCTCTAAACGGCTTGGGAGCGTTGAGAGGGCAGGACCCGGGTTCGTTCCTTTTGGCTGGTTGCTGGATCCTACGAAACAATGAAGGCACACTTCTTCTATGCACCATTGCTGTGAACCACACCCAGACCCTCGGTGCTGGCGCCCGCCGATCTCGCTGGTGATGAGGCCCAAACCCAAAACCCAAACCCTTGAAGCCACGAACCTTCATCCTGATGCCCTGAACTTTCAGGAACCCTGAGGCCCCCAGACACTCCGAATGCTAAGCCCGGAAAGCCTGATAAAGCCTGAAAGCCTTGAAACCCGCAGCGTCCAAGCTATCTTCCAATGTTTCGCATGCAATACGGGCGCTGCCTAGATTAGGAGTACCCTACTGAGCGGTCCTGGGTGAACTCCCATGAGATGCGCTGTGAGGGCAAAACGACGGTGCAGCTCCCGGCCCCGAAACCCGAAGCCCTAATGCCTGAACTCCCTAAACCAGCATCCCGGCCAAGCCGCCGTCGAAAGAGCCCACAGACGCGAGATACTCCCAGCCAGCAAGGGGGCATGATGCGATGTAAGCCGGGCTTTTTCCGACGTTGTTGTAGCGCTTATGGTGCAGGGTTTATTCATCGTCGGCCTAAGAGTCTAACCTTTCATCCGCTCAGCACCGAAACTTGCAAACCTGTTGCTTCGTCATCGAAGCGGCTGTCTATAAACTCCGAACCCCAGTCCTATCCACCCTGGACCCTCTAGCTGAATAGTGATGCCCCCGAGAATGCATCTCTAAATCTTGGAGTGCCCTGCCCCACGAGTTTTTAATGTCCTACAGCCCAGACTCCCAGGGCACACCGGAGGCTTGAAACCACGAGGGCGCATGCTTTTCATGTCATTCAGGATTTGTGGCATGTCAGGGTGCAGGGTCGAGGGCTTTGTGTTTCAGAGCTTTGAATGATTTAAGAGCTGACGGCAGCCTCATGGAGAGCTACAGTGTTCTGAACCCATAAGTTCGATGTTGTTGAAGCGTGCTTGCGATGGCTTGGAAGGGAACACTGCAAAGGGTGGGGTCCTAGCAACAGAGGTTGCCGAAAGGCCCTGAGTCCATCTCACACCTCTTTTCAGCCATCGGGCTATCCAAGCCCAAGCCTGCTCGCAGACCCGATCAAGTAAACAGCAGATGAAAAGACGAGAAGATGAAGAACAAGGACAACAGTAGAAGGAACTCCTGCTGCAAGTACCACCATGACTCAAGAAGATGAGAGGCATCAGATTCATCGACAAAAGAAATGGGGAATGCCGCTATGTGCAAGTCTCAACTTTGTTGATACTCTCAATAACCACCCAGCCTCAGAATCCTGAGGTCTCTCGCCCTACAGGCCTACTCAGATCCGAAGCCCTCCTACAGCGACTGCATGAAGGATGGAAACCCTCGACCCTGAACCCCAAACCCTCAACCAGACCTTTGAAACCCCAGGCTCCGGACCCCAGACCGCCGAGCTGATAGAGCTCTTAACCCTGAACCCAGTATCAGCGCTGACACACTAGAAATCATATCGCAAAGAAAAGCTACGAGAACCTAAGCCGGAAAATCCTTGCATCCTAGATCCTCTACAGACCCAGAAAGAACGCAAAGAACCCATCTATAATTACCCCAAAGTGAAGCCTTACTTGCCGGCGTTGGAGTTGGGGCCGCGCTTCGGCCCGCTCTTGACCACCTGGCCGGAGACAAAGAAGCCGAAGGGTCAAAAACTTAAGAGTTTCCTACGGTTTGAGAATTGAGAACTTTTGGTTTTGGAGCTTGGGGGTTGTTGAAGGCTTAAGGTTTGATGGTTGAGGTTCGGGGTTTCGGGTTTGGTTCAAGTCTAGAGGTTTGCGGCTTCACAGGTAGAATCATGAATCTTGTGATTGCTGCTTCCCATGGCCAGTAGTGATACTGATGTTGTCAGTACTTACTCGCACCAATACTATATTGGGAATGGCACTGCTCATTGCTCAAACTAGTATCTGTAGCTAAAGACTTCGAACTGCACCGACTGTCAAAAAGCAACGAGGCGATATATCTTTGCGATCTGATGCTTCCCAAAATTATCTCATTATATCCCTGGAGTTTTGGGCTTGGGGCTCAGGAGTTTGCACAGGGTTTCGCATCTATCTTTTATGGTGCGGGGCATAAAAACCAGAAAGGGGGTGTTTCGTAGGATCCGGGCATCTCGGAAGCTCGAAGACATACAGGGCTGTGCTTGGAGGATCGGGAGGGGCCCACCGAATTGCACTCTGGGTTCTAACCAGGGCCTTGGGCTCTTTATGGCTCAGGGAAAGCTTCTGTTTGGAATATCCGGGCTACACACTGGCCTTCAGGGTGCAGCCTGAAAGTAGGGTGCCAGTTTAGGCTTTTGAGGAGGCGTCATGCCCACAACCTGAAGTTAGAGCTCAAGGGTGAAGATGGTCTGAGGTTTGGGGTCAACGGTTTTTGGATCTGGGGATAGGGATTGCGACATGAAGCCAAAGTTTCGTTTCACGAAACTTCGGGAATTGTCGCCAGCTGGATCCTTCTTACAAGAACAAGCAACAGCTTCGAATAGTGGCAAACATAGATCAGAAAACAGCTCTAAGACTGGCACAGGTAATGATTACGTAGGCGCGTACATACATGTCTACTATGCTTGGAACCCAACTTTCGTCTCAGGTATTTTGTTTGACGCAACGGACAGAGTCTAGATATCTCTAACATCGCTACTTCCGTTACGTCAAGATCTCAGTTCACATGGTAGACTGTCGAGAACTGACAATCTGGGATTGTGAGCAGCGCTGAGAGTTTATGCGGAAAGCATGTGCTTGTTGAGCTGTGGTGTTTGCTGTACTCTCTGTAAATAGTTCTAAAAGTTCAATCACTCGATAAAAACCAACACAGAACAGGTCGAGACAGTCACAGGGCCTGGGGTCTCACATCATTTTCGTGGGCAGATATATTGGGCACATCTATACGTAAAAACTCATTTATTCATGCAGTCATTTGCCTGTGCTGATGTATCTGCTCACTTACTTTCTAGTTAACTAGCTGTCGGTTCTTGGAGTTAGTACGTAAACAAGCGCATATATCCTCGCAAGCTAGTAAATATGCAGACATACCTACCTACCTACCT